TCAACCTAACAATGGATCATTAGCACCTGATGGCTGTTTACTGTTCACAGAGGGCTGAGTGATACTAGCAATCACAGCATTGTAAGAGGGGGACAGTTGAACCCGGAGGCCTCCACCCCTGTTTAATGATGGACGATTTCTTTTCACAAAGATGGCCTCCTTTACTCCTCTCTCAAACCATCGTTCCTCTCTGTCCAGGATGTGAACATCTTTTTCCCTGAAAGAGTGACCGCTGACCTGGAGATGAGTGTAGACCTCAGAGTCCTGGCTTGATGTTGTTGATCTTCTGTGCTGGGCCGTCCTTTTGGACAGTGGCTGTTTAGTTTCCCCTATGTAAGACTGATCACCCTCCTGACACTGAACAGCATACATAATATTACTCTGGTTCATCCCAAAGATCCAGTCCCCCGGCACAAACAGTCTTTAATGTATTTTGGGGTTTAAACACAACGTCCCAGTGGCTTTTAAACCCCATAATACATTACGGCAAAGAATAATCTCACCAGATCAATCTGTCAGCGATCTGTGTGTAGGATCCTCTGCCATCAGATCTCTGACAGATTGAACTGGTGAGATTATTCTGTCAAGAATGGGTTTTGGATTCAAAATAGCCAGACACAGGAGTGCAAAAACAAGAACAGTTTTTATTTATTATGCTGCTGGATACTCAGGATCCAATTTCAGTAACAGGTCTTTGCAGGCAGGTGGAGTGAGAGCCACCTGTCAGATTTTAAAGAGATGAACTGGTGGGAAAGCAGCTGTAAAAGGAGGCATTTAATGCTGTGAACAATGGGGCAATGCAGGTTTGTGGTCCAAAGGGCAAAGCAGGGGTCAAACACGGGGAGTCAGTGGTACAAGGGTAATCCAAAAGGGTGATCCGTGAGTCGTGGTCATAGACAGAAGAGGAGGTCATTACCGAGGTCAGATATGCAGGCACATCCAAGAGGGGTAGGCAAGGTGAGGAGTTCAAAAACAGGCAAGGATACAAGACAAGGATACAAGATTCTATGATTGAAGGCTTCACTATCAGGGACCATGAGTGTTGTAATAATTCTGCAATGGTGGAGAGGGAGAATGGTGCTTAGGTTGTTTTCACACCTAATAGTCCAGTAGACTGGGTTCGGTTGGGGACCAATATTCATGACATTTTGTTACATTTGAGCTGGTGAGTTTGCATTCACACTGCACTGTGCAGTCGAGTCAACCTGTTGAACCAACCTGTTCCCCCACTCGCCTGTGGGGGCGCTGCACCAAGAACTACTGAAAAAAAACAACACAAAAACCTCTGAAGACACTTCTTCTTCTTCTTCTGGAAATAAAAACAAAAATGGAGTGGCATCAAGTTTTAGCAGTTTTAGGAGTTATATTTTGTAATTTTTCAAAAATGGACCATGAGCAGAAGATGAGGCAGAAGAACATGGAGAATATTGTTTTTCACACAAAGCAGCTGACGGCTCCATATAAGGTCAGAGAAATGCGTGTTTGTTTGCCCTGCGCTATACTCCACTTCTTGCTTGCGGAGACGGGCCCGGTCTGTTTACATTCACACTGTACTGGAACCTCGCTGGAGTTCTCTTCTACCGGACCGAGACTTAGGTTGAAGGGGCAGGAAAGTGAGCAGATGGGGGGCCAGCGGGGGCCGCTGATCATGACACACATCTACCAATATCAGTTTTACCACCCTGGATTTTACCAACTGCAACAGTAGACATGACACTAATGGAAAGGAAAAAGGACAGGACATACATCATAGATTCATACACAGTACAGACTTATAGAAACAATTATTATCAGTACATTCAAATTTATACAGACACATCAAAAACAAATAAAAAAATAGATATAGCTTTTATAATACCGGAATTAAAAATAAAAATAGGAAAACTAATCACCAACGACTTATCAGTATATACAGGAGAGATGTTAGCAGTTTTATTGGCAGTGCAGTGGGTGGAGGAACTAAAACCATTAAAAACAATCATCTGTTCAGATTCAAGTTCCACATTATTGAGGTTAACGCACAATCATTCAGACAGCAGGCCAGATACTTTATTAGAAATACTCCACACATTATTCATAACACAGGATGGGATTAACAGTAACATTGTTATGGGTACCAGCACACATTGGGATAGAAGGAAACGAAATGGCAGATAAGATGGCAAAGAAGGCAACTCAAAATCACATTAACGTCACATGACATATAAGCAAATCAGAGGCAAATAGTATTATCAAACAAAAACTGAAGAAAGAATGCCAGAAAAGATGGGATGAAGAAAGAAAATGAAGATGGTTTTATAGGATCAAAAAGTCAGTAGGAGAAACGAGAACTGGAAGAAGGAGCAGAAAGGAGGAAAGATGAATAATCAGATTAAGATTTGGACATACAGGACTTAATTATTCACTATTTCAAATGACGAAACACAATGCAGCATGGCGGCACAACTGGTAGAGCTGTTGCCTCTCAGCGCGCAGGTCCTTGGTTCAAATCCCAGTCCAGGGGCCTTTCTGGGTGGAGTTTGCATGTTCTCTCTGTGCATGCGTGGGTTTTCTCCGGGTGCTCCGGTTTCCTCCTACAGACCAAAAACATGCATGTTAGGCTGATTGGTAACTCTAAATTGTCCCTAGATGTGAGTGAGAGAGTGAATGGTTGTTTGTCTATGTGTCCCTGTGATGGACTGGAGACCTGTCCAGGGTGTACCCCGCCCCTCGCACAACGATTGCCGGACATGGGCACCGGCGACCCCCATGACCCAAAATGGAAGAAACGGGTAAAAGATAATGGATGGATAATACAGAAAAATGTGAACACTGTGGACAGGATGAAACTATACAAAATGTTATACTGGAATGTCAAAAAATGAGCAAGAACAAAGATTTATGAAGAGAGAGTTTGAAAAGATAAAAGAAAAGTTTAACATAACAGATGCACTACAACACAACTTAGACAGCAAACATATACAAATTATAAATAGATATTTTAAGAAAACAAAGTTGATTAATATAATTTGAAATGCATATAGTTTAATCATGCATACATATAGAAATATCCCATGATGAACCACACTCCATATCAGTGGTGACGGTAATGCACACCTACAGTTTTTTTCTAACTGCCATTAAACTCATCAAGAAGAAGAAGAAGACTATCCTCCAGTGCTGGGACATTATCCTTCGAATGCGACTCCCAAGTCTCGTCTTCATCTAAGACTTCCAAGGCGTCAACTCTCCAAGGCTCGGCTCTCTCTGATGGTGTCCCTTCTACCAATCAACAGCCTCCAGCCTGCTCTTGCACTCTTTGCTCCTGCTGCAACCAGCTTCTCTCTCACACAGTACTCACCTCTCCTCAAGTGGCCTCTCCTGGAACCCAGGACCTCACAGAGCTCTCATTCAACTCCTACAACAACTGGAAAACCAGTAAGAGAATTAAATACAATTCCTGACAACAATCAACCAACAAAACCCTGCAACCAATATTCACCTTGTCCCTTCTCTCCTTTTCAGCCCAACTCCCCTTTTCCCTGTGAAAATAAAATAATTAATTTTTTAGACTCTGTGACTGTCTGTTCTTCAGTTTGCCATCTGGGGTCTTTTATTAACAACAATAATGTTACAGAGTGAGCTACCTGGCAGGGGAGATATCGTGAAGGTGGTTCACCCAGGGTGAGGCTCAGCCATTGCACTCCAGTTGTGCTGACCCCTGCAAATTCCCCAAATTTGTGAATCTCAACTGCATAATTTCTGGTATGAAAAGTGAAAGTGGTGAAGGCTGCACAGAAGTCTGTTGGAGTCAGCCTCCCAACCATCACAGATATCTACACCTCCAGATGCAGGAAGAGGGTCACCTGCATCATGAAGGACCCCACTCACCCAGCACACACTTTTTGCCCCGCTCCCCTCATGAAGGAGGTTGAGGAGCATTAAGTGTAGAACCACTAGACCGAGGAACAGCTTCTACCCTGAGGCTGTTAGCCTCATGAAACTCTAACCAGAATAACTCCTGTTAAAAAACAAAACACTGTGATGCCACTTTAAATGTTGACACGTGACTTATTTGTGCTGCTGATTGTCCATGCTACTGATTATCTCATGCTGCTGTGTTCAATCGTACCCATCTGCTCACAACAGCCTCATATTCGGGCTGCTGTTATGCTGACCAGTTGGCATTCGTTTGGCGTTTATCTTACTGTATATCTTAGATCCTTATATACTGTTTCTATTTACATCAGCTGTTTGGGTCATCTTGACTTGGACTGACTCCAGAAGTTGATCACTTGTAGACCTACATCACATGATTATTTTCTGAGAGCTTCATTCATTCAGTCCAGAACTTCATGAGCTATTTTGTTAAAACAACAGACAAATACACGCACGCACGCACGCACACACACAGGCAAAGTCTTTATCACATTTATGCCTTTTGCAGCAAGTGATAATTACATTTACTAACAATAATTATCAGTGGTTACATCTGATTTACACATTCTGAGCTTTAATTCCCTGGAAACCACATTAGATATTGAGTTGGGTAACTCGGACAAAGAGTAGCTGTTGCCTCGGTAACAGGGCCTAAGACTCATCTGAGCATGGTGAACAAATGAACAGCTTGTTTGAATTAAAGTTTCACAGCAGAAGAATTTTTATTACAGTTCAAGCCAAAACTTTGTGATTCCTCGAAGTGGTTTGTGAGGACGTGGAGACGTTTTCAGAGTGAGTCCATAAAATGAGGTTGAAGTGAGTGTTGTGTTAGTAAGAGCTCAGTCATGCTTCTCATGCATGCTTGGGAAAAGCAGGAGGAATTCAAATTGAACCCCCACCCACCCAGCATGAAGACATGTGGGAAGGATCTGCAAGCGGAACCAGGCAGAACCCTGAACGGTCCCCAAACCCCACCCACTGCAGCTCCTCTACACACAAACATCACCCAGAAAGAACAGAAAGAAACATCTTCCTGGGTCAGAAGTTTCAACAAAACCACTGAGGGAATGAATTGCGTTGACATGGCAGCTGTGGAGACTCTACTGTGCCTGGGAGCATGGCTGTCTGCTTGGAGCATCACCTCTGCAGGTAAAACTAACAGAACTAGACCCAGAAACTGTTATTGACCCAGCAGGTCCTGGGTCGTGACAACACTTAAATTACCTTCATTTAGCACGGGAGAAGGTTTAGTTCTTGTTTAGTTTTACACTCATCTAACATCTAAAGTTTAGAATGTTTATTTGAACATTACATGAAGGACAGGGGGCGTCAGTGGAGCAGTGGTCAGTGCCCCGGTCTTGCAATCCTGAGGCTGCAGGCTCAAGCCCAGGTTGAGTCAGGACAGGTATCTGGCGTAAAGCAATTCAAATCTTAATAATAAAGAAGGGAGCAGACAAAATGAGAAAAAAAAAATCTGAAGGATTGCTGGCCCTTCAGTGTGTCAGCAACATTAACATATACAGCAAAAAATAAACATCCTGGAATAAAATCAACTCAGCCTGACCGTAAAAAGCACTGCAGTTTAGATTTTATTTAGCTGCTCTTGGCATGGATGTCTGAATGGCTGTATTACACATCTGATCCAGGCTGTGAAGTCAGCCAGTCTTTTTCACTTGTTTAACAGAGACACACATGTGGCGACTTGTTTCTCAATGAGATCTGCAGTCAGACATATCAAGTTTACTTATCAAGTTCATGTTTGTTAAATCTCTCTGAAATGTCTGTGGCAACAGTGAGGCTGCCAATGGTCCAGAAAACAACTTCACTCAAAGAAAAAATGAAAAACAACATCCTTCCAGATGGGCTTTTTTGACAACATAAAGTTCACCATGTTTAATATCATCATGTAAAGTTCTAAAGTTAAAAACCTTCCAACAATTTTCAGTCAGGTCATTTGGACAGTTTCTTTTTTTTTTTTTTTTTTTTTTTTGTGCTGAAACGTTTCACCTTCCATCCGGAAGGCTTCATCAGTCAAGGAAACACACAACACAAAACTGATTCGTCCCCCAAACAGCTTACTCCAAAGTGGAACAAACCAGTTCCAGACTGGACTATTGCAATGGTTTATTATCTGGGTGTCCACAAACTTCTTTAAAAAGTCTTAAGCTGATCCAAAATGCTGCTACCAGAGTTTTAATGAGAGTTGATAGGAGAGAACATATTTCTCCAGTTTTAGTTTCTCTCCACTGGCTCCCTGTAAAATTCAGAATATAATTCAAAATATTACTTCTAACATACAAAGCTCTCAACCATTTAGCTCCATTTTATATTACAGATCTTATTGTTCCATATTTTCCTAACAGAGAACTTCACTTTCAGACTGCAGGATGGATGGATGGATGGATGGATGGATGGATGGATGGATGGATGGATGGATGGATGGATGGATGGATAGATAGATAGATAGATAGACAGACAGACAGACAGACAGACAGACAGACAGACAGACAGACAGACAGACAGACAGACAGACAGACAGACAGATAGACAGATAGATAGATAGATAGATAGATAGATAGATAGATAGATAGATAGATAGATAGATATAGATAGATAGATAGATAGATAAAGATGTTTTAAACCCTTCCCACACTCCTGCATTATTCTAAATAATGTTTCTAAACTCTAAATCAGGGCTATTCAACAAAAATGCTCAGGGTGCCACAGTTTCTTAAAGCCAACAGCTCAGGGCCCACACATCCTGCAATTAAAATAATAATAAATAAAAAAATAATGAAGTGGGCCGGAGTGAAATCACCCACAGGCCATTCGCCAGTTGAATAGCCCTGCTATAACTGCTCTAAAAGAGCATAGCTCATCATGATTTCAGCTCTCTGCTTCAGCTGCTCTCTGCCATGCCAGCACCATCGACCATGCCCACTTCTCCGCTGCAGAGCGGAGATATGACATGCTACAGGTGGAAGCTTCTCCTTCAGCTGTGGGCTGCACACCAGTGCTAAATAATTTTAAATAATTTATTTTAAATAAAAATTCCATAGCTCATCCATCAATCAGCTAATTGTTTGTCATGTCCAATCTTTGAAATACCTCGATAGAGCAACCCGGGAAAAAAATGATTGCAAAGTAACAAGGAACTACTGTAATTTCCTCAAATGATTGCAGTGACTGAAGATTAATCTTTGGTGGCCAAGGCCACCTTTAGCCACACCCTGGCTTCGCCTTTACACCTGGTCATAAATGAAATTGCTCTCTCCATTCGCCAGGATCCATCACTCTTTGCTGTCTCAGACAAACAAACAAACAAACAAACAAAACAAAAACTCCTCCATCTGTTCTTTCCACAGTGTAACTCTACCCACTTCAATATCTTGAATCAAAAACATTTGTTTACTTGCACTCACTGTCAATGTTCCCTCTAAGCTATGCGCCTGGATGGACC